GATCCTGAGAGGAGAATGGAAAAGAAGGGATTGCAGCATGGCCATCCCCCCTGGGGGGTGATTTCTCACTTTGTCTCTCTGTCTCTGTCTTTCTGGTGAGCGCATGCACCTTATAGCAAAAAGCTCTCCAAAAAATAAAAAAATAAAAAGTTTAGTTCTAAAAGATTTAAAAATTTTTTGCAGATTAATTCTTTAAAAAAGCATATAACATTTTATGTTAAATTTATAATAGTGGGGCCAGCAGGCCTGGACCTGGTGGCTTGAAAATCCCACTAGGCACAAGTGCACGTGTGCATGTGTGCGCATGCCGAAATGCCAGGGAGAAGGAGAAGGGATTGCTTTGTGGCTGTTCCTGGGGTGGATGATCGCTCACCTTCCCTTTTTCTGTCACTCTCTGATGGGTCCACATACCCTACTACAGAAACCTCAGGAAAACAGTTCCCACTGGTAAATGTTTTCATATGGCACAGGATGGACATTGGTCCAAGACTGTTCATTGCACGTTTTATTCTCTGACGGAGCTCATGATGGTGCAGAAAACAGTCTTGGTTTACAGCGAAAGCGTGCATTGCAAACCTGTTATTTCCCCCTTGTATTTCTGTGTTTGTATTCAGTGCTCATACGCTGAATACAGCGTAGGCTAAGGGTCAATCATCTATCATATTTGCAGCCAGACTACTTTTAACAAAGTTGTTTAAAAGGCTATTTTTCTGCTTAATAAGGAACACTCATGTAAGTTGATTGACCTGAGGGCGACATTTTAAGTTTGTTCTCATGGTAGGTAATTTAGATTTAGTTATTGAACTAGAAAGTTTGATTTCCCTATTTTTCTAGCCTTCTCATTTCTTCCTAGAACATTGAAATTAAGTTTTGCCGTGAAAAAGCCAAAGCCACTTGTTACAATTTCATATTTACGAGGGGCATCCTGTGGTAGTGGATTGTTCTGGGGAGTGTTACAAACTTAGTTGATAAATACTTATTTATGGAGGAAATTCCTTGTCATAAGCAAGTCAGAAAGAACAGTTATGGTTCTGTTATGTCCTAAGAACTATGAGAGGCCAATTTTATTTTCTTGATATTTTAATTAATACTAACAACTAACTCATGAGGTAGATAACAAAACAGCCCAGAAAACCTTTTATTTCTTACCCAGAGTTACAAAGCTACAGGAATCCAACCAAGGAGCAAGTTTATTACTTTTCCCCATTTTTGGTGAGTTACAGAAGATACCTCACAGTGTAATTGTGATATTGGGAAGAAGAAAAAATGAGGACGTGCCATGACTGAGAAGCAATGAGTCACCTTAGGAAATGCTTTCACTTCATGGGTGCACATACGTGGCCTCGGAGTCGGGTTTGGGCGGAGGTGGAGCCTTGTGCCCTGGGTGACTTGGGCATGCCACTGTTCCTGCTGCTCGTCACCAGGCCCCGTCCTGACACAGAGCTGCATTTCTCAGGTCTAATGTGGGCAGTGTCCTTATGCAACTCATCTGTCTAGGCGTGGAAGACGTTTGAAATATGTAGAACCATATTCTGCTACTTTTGAAAAACCAGGTGCATTGTTCATTTGCAAGGTCTGGTTTTTTACAAGTCGCCTTTTTGTTTCTTTTTGAATAGAAAGATGAAAACTACAGAAGCCTCCCACGGGACACTAGTAACTGGTCTAACCAATTTCAGAGAGACAATGCTCGCTCGTCTCTGAGTGCCAGTCACCCCATGGTGGACAAGTGGCTGGAGAAGCAAGAACAGGTAACCGAACCGAACCCTTTCCCCACACCCCTACAGATGTTTCTCCATCACTGTGGTCACGAAGGCCGAGTTGTTCTAACAGGCTGTATCTACGTGCCCAGCTCGATGTCGGAGTTATGGAACACAAATGCAGAATGTTTCTGGGCCAGCCCCTTACTGAAATTTTCTCATGTGCAGGTATAAATATTTACAGTAGGTTCTAAACTATCGTGAATTTAGAATCGGTGATGTTGCTGCATCACCACCCTTGGGCATGAAAAATGAACGAACACAGGCAGTGTGGAGATTTTCAAGGCTCTTCTTCAGTGGGCAATGAGTCAAAAACTCTGAAAAGGAAAGTGAAAATTTTGTCTTACCTGACTCCTACTTATGAGAGAAGTAATTCTATAATGTTTTAGAATTTATATTTTTGGTCAGGTGTTTACACTTCTCATAAATTTCAGGAATCTACTTTAGGTTTGTAAGTATTTAGAGTTGACTTGCTGACTCTACAGAGCAGCCTCCTACAGTTTTTTTTTTTTTTGGAGAGGTTTTTGCTATAGGGTGCGTGCGCTCGCCAGACAGACAGAGAGAGACAGAGAGATAGAAAGCGAGAAATCATCCCCCCCCCCAAGGGGCATGGCCACGCCGCAATCCCTTCTCCTCCATTCTCCTCCTGGGATCTTGGGCACGCACACACACCTGCCCGGTGTGAGTTTAAGCCACCGGGTCTGGGACTCGAACCGTGGTCGACTACGTGGGAGTCCAGCGATATAGCCATTACGCTAACTGCTGGTCCCAGCCTCCTACAGTTAATGAAGTTGGAATTGTTTAATGATTCATAGAGATTATCACTTCCTGTTTTGGAAAGGATGAGCCCACAGTTATTACCGTTAAAGAAGCTTCCCTTACATGAAGGCTGAGAATTTATATGGTAGGTTAATTCTTGGGTGTTATTTAAAAAAATTCTTAATTGTGTATGAAATATTTGTCTTTATGGTAGAGAATCCCAGTGGTCGTCTTTTTCATAGTGCCCCTCCCCCCCGATTTATTGCTGTTTGATTGACAAAATGTGTGTATATTTATGGTACTGAATTTGCAGTTTGGTTAATGCATATGTTGTAGAATGATTAATTACTCTTATTTAGCTGATTAATACAGCCATCACCTCCCATGGATGTCAGTTTTTTCTGGTGTGTGTGGTGAGAGCCCTTGAGATCCACTGTCAGGAAAGCTCAGACATGCGGGCTGTCATTGTTATGGGGCTCACCGAGCTGTGCATTAGGTCTCCAGGATTATTCATCTTACAACTGATGGTCTGTACCTTTGACCAATAGCTCTCTGTCCCCCAACCTCCATCCTCTGCTACACACTGTGCAGTTTTGTTAGTAAGAATCCATTATTATTTACAGATCCCACATATGAATGAGATCATGTGGTTTTTTTTGTCTTCATACAGCTTTTCTCACTTACCCTAATGTCCTTCTGCAACGTTGTTGCCGAAGGGAGGATTTCTTTCTTTCTTTTTTTTTTTTTTTTTTCCTTAAGAGATAGAAAGTGAGAAATAACTCTCTCCTCCTCCCCAGGGTGGGGAATGGCCACACTGCAATCTCTGCTCTTTCAGATTCTCCCCTTGGGATTTAGGGCATTGATGCACACCTGCCCAGCATGAGTTTCAACCTGCTGGGTCTGGGACTCGAGCCACGATTAGCCATGTGGAAATCCAGCACCTCAACCACTATGCCACCTGTTGGTCTCTCCTTTACTTTTTAAAGATGAATAACATTCTACTATATATGTGTGTGTGTGTGTGTGTGTGTGTGTATGTGATGCTATATAATCTTCCAAAAATTCATGGAAAGTGCAATTTATGAAAACACGGTGCAAGGATTTCAAAGTGACTTTGCACCTAGATAAAGTTGTTTTCCCATCGACTTCTGTCATCTTCTTGGCTGTGTGTACGTATTGTATAGTATTATCTTCATTCCTTTTTTATTGCACATTTAGGTTGTTTCCATAGCTTGGCTATTGTGAATAATGCTTCAAAGTGCACATCTGTATAAATATGTCTTTGATGTAGTGATTTTATTTCTTTTGGCTGTATATCCAGAAGTAGAATTGCTGGATCACACGGTATCTCCACTTTTAGTCTTTGAAGAACCCGTATGCTATTTTTCCTAGAGGCTTTTTGCACCAGCACTGTATAAGTATCTCCTTTCTCCATGTCCTCGCTAACACTTGTTATCTTTTGACTTTTCGATAACAGACATCCTGCCATGTATGATGTGATATCTCACTGTGATTTTGATGAACTTCCCCTGATGGTTTAGGATATTTGCACAGTTTTAATATTAAAACCTCACATTTTTGGCCACTTGATTAGTTATTTTTTTTTTAAATCTTCATATGGATGTGGAACTATGTGAGTACTTAGAAAACTTTCTTTATCTTTTTGAATTATTTTAAAAATTATTAATAATTCTGTGGTCTAAATTCTATCCTCTTTTTCGAGTCTTTTTAGAAGCAAATAACCGTTTCCCTAAGCTTCCCAGCAGTTGTTCTGTTTTCTTGGCCAGAATGCCACTACTTGTCTGTCCATTTTTAAGTTAAAGGAAGTAAAATACCCGTGTTGGTTTAGACTCATTGAGCCTGACTCCTTGGGACTGGGAGGTGTCCCTGAACCAAGAACGCTCACCACTGGGCAAAGTCTGCGGTCTCTTAAAGCAAGAAGGAAGGGCTGGTGTTGGCTGCGGGTGCGGAACCTGGGACTAACCTGAGTTAGTTAAATGCGTTGTATGTATATACTCTTACTGAAGAGTGGCCCAGAGCTTCTGAAAGATCACGCATTTTATTACATAATAACTTTTATCATGCTATTTCGGTTGTAGATCTGTTTTTAGGGAAGTAGTTCAGTTTTTCTTTGTAAATATTGTAAAAAAAAAAAAATCATTCCTTTTCAAGTGAAGTGATTATCTTAAGAAGCCACATAAATGGTGATGCATTTATGTTTTCCCCTAAAGACTGAACCTTGGTTTGCTTCTGTTTAAGGTATTTGAAATATTAGTTTTTATTTACTTAATATTTTTAAAAGAATTATTTACTTTTGTTTATTATTACCGTTCTTTTTAGTTTGTCTTAGACACACATGCTCACCCGAGAAAGAGAGAGATTGAGCGAGTTACCAGGCCCAGGACTTGAACGCCAGTCAGCCATGTGGGAGTCCAGCACCTTCACCACCACTCCACCACCTGGCCCTAGAAATCGCAGAGTTTTGAAAACCCATTACTTCCTCAGTCTATTCAGGCAACAGTAGCTAGTTGAGTCCTGGAACTGAAAACCTCTTCCTTGGCTTAAGTTTAAGAAAGGAAAAATCTATATGAATAAGTGTGTACCCGAAGGTGTGGAAGCCATGGATGATTTCATATCAGCAGGATAATTAGACTGTCTTTTTTTTTTTTTTTTTTTTTGATTGTCAGAGGATGCATCTACCCACTAGCGAGATTCTGAGACAGGGAAAAGGGAGTGGGAGGAAGCACCTCCCACTAGTGCACTGTCATGCTGCCGCCCCTTCTCCTTCATCTCGCTATCCTGTCAGGATGTGGGGCCCATAGGCACGGGCACCTGAGCTGCGGCCAGGATTCGAACCACCTGCTGTGCCACATGGCCTCCCACTCCCTTAGCCTGTATGCTGCAGGGTCAACCCTAGATTGAAATCAGTTAAGGAGAGTAAGAACCACAAAAGCAAGATGAAACAAAACCTATATGCAGTTTTTTGCTGGAAGTAAACACTGTCATTTGATCAGAAGACAAGTAATAGGTTATGCTTTATAAATCCAGTCTGCTATTCATTTAACTGTGGATTGATTTTGTGAACTATTCCCCAAGAACACAGCCTGATAGCCCTTATGAGGGTTTGTTCTGTTTTGTTTTTGCCATTCAAATTATCATAAAGAGGCTTGTGCCACACGGGTGAAAGAACGTTGGCATGCCTTCACAGCTGGGGACGGACCGGCTGGGTGAACCCATGGCTCTCTTCTGCACTGGTACCTCCTGAACCGACGAGGTCAACAGAGTTGATTCTGTGTGCTGCTGGGGGTTTCATTTTTGCTTCGTTTCCTTAAAGAGTGTTTTCCGTCATTAGCTGTGTGTGGAAGGCAGATGTGACCACATCAGCCTTGCCAGTGGGAATGCGCAGGGGGGTGGGGAGGACAGCCCTGTGCAGGAGAGTGCTGGGCCTGTGGGCTTCTCAAGAAGTGAGGGCTGTCTGATGGTGTGGGATTGATCCTACATGTGAGCGTGTTCAAACCTCTCCTGTGTCAGAATATTGGTTAGTTTTATTGGCAAAGCAGAAGACAGATGATAGATCTTCTTAGAACTCTGCAGCAGGAAGCACCTGGGTTGAGCTCAACGTGCTTTTTAGAAATCGTAGTCCTGCTTTCGGTGACTGACCTTGCCCACGACAGCCTGCAGCCGAGTTCTGCATGGGATTCATCTCCGAGGTAGAGGACAGTGCATCTTTCCAAGGGTGTCCTTCTCTCACACCAGCCTCATGATTCCCTGTTTCTGAAGGATCTTAGAGAAGCACAAAGGATGTGAAGGTGAAAGGGCTTGTTGTGGTGTTACTTTGAAACCGTTTTCCTGCTTCTGACATTCTGCTTCCAAGATCAGCAAATGAAAAAAGCAACAAAACGCTCAGTTGTGATGTTTGGCAGTGTTTTAAAACAAGTTGTAGTTCCATTTAACCATTATCGTTCCTGACTCTGGGTGGACTGTAACTGCGTGTTGGCAGACAGTTAGATCCCCATACTTTATTGCTGCTAATAAATTCCACAGAAGAGAAGCAGGACCTTTACAATACACGACTGGGAGGATTTAGGACCCGAAAGGAAAAGGACCTTAAGGAGAATAGAAGCTAATTGGGAGCCTGCCGTTTTCACTGCCTTCTCTTGGAGAGCAGGCCTGGATGCAATTAGCAGAGACGTACGGATGCACCAGGAGTGCCCACCCCACATCAGCTCAGC